GTTTGATGGTGCAGTTCTTGAGGAAGTCTTCTTCCAGGTGGCTCATAAAAAGGTTGGCATACTGTGGGGCCATTTTAGTGCCCATAGCTGTTCCTATCATCTGGAGGAAGTGTTGATTATTAAAAGTGAAATTGTTGTGTGTGAGGATGAAGTGTATAAAGTCAGTAATATCTTTGGGTGTGTAATCTGTGTTGTAATCTTGTTCCTGTAGATATGTAAGGCAGGCTTGGATGCCATCCTGGTGTGGGATGTTGGTATATAGGCTGGTTACGTCCATAGTGGCTAGGAGTGTGTTGCCTGGAAGGTGGTCTATGTTTTTAAGTTTCCGTAGAAAGTCTGTAGTGTCTTGTACAAAACTTGCTCTGTGGGTGATGAACGGTTTTAGGATTGATTCAACGAAACCTGATATTTCCTCAGTTAGAGTCTCATGGTTGGCTATGATAGGTCTGCCAGGGTTCCCTTGTTTGTGGATTTTAGGGAGCATGTAAAAAGTCCCTGGGTTAGGTAGTGACGGGGATCAAGGTCTGTAGTTTTTCTTGTAGTCTTGATGGAAATGATTTGATGGTATTGTTGAGTTTTTTGGTGAAAAGATGTTAGAACATTAATTCATAAATTTTTCAGAGATTATTCCTAGTAATCTGCATACCTATCAAACTGCTGAACAAAACTGTTCTCTTTGGATATTCCTATATTATAAATTGTTTCCTTACCTTTTTATTGTGTTCTTATTTTTGTCAATCCTCTGCAGGTCTATTCAAAAGTTGGGAGAGTTAAACATAGGTATGGACAGTCTTGGAAACGAAGTTCAGACACTCGGCCAACAAGGGCAAGAAGGCAAGGGGAATACATCCAATGGTCTGGCAACTAGTACTCCAGCCTTTACATCCCCACCTCCAGATTCTAGTCAGAGAATAATGACTGATAGCCAAAATGTTAATACAAGCACTCCTCGGAAGCATGGGTCAACAAATCAGATACCTTTTCTTGAAGAATCACCTGTCCAAGGGAATCAAATGTAAGTGCTTGACATATTACGAGCTCTGAAAATTTTCTTAGATTAACACTGAGGGGATGATGTCTGTATTTTGACTGTTATCAGAACCTGTACATCTTTGGTTTACTAAATGGTCAAAGAGGAGGTGGGGGGAACTTGGCATACATTTGTCTGGAAGTATAGTAACTTTCAAGTTGACAATTTCCCATTAGAATTTTTATCACATCTAACATTTTATTTTTACTTTGCCTTTGTTTGCCTATTGATTTGTTTCTGGTAATTATAAAAGCCATTACTGACTTTTGTAAAATGGTAGGATATTAATAAGGAATCGGATGTGTACTGCTCTGTCCCTTTAAATTAGTCAGTTTGGAGGGTGT